CCTTTCCTTTCCTTTCCTTTCCTTCCTTTTCCTTTTCCTTTTCCTTTCCTTTTCCTTTCCTTTCCTCTTCCTTTTCCTTTTCCTTTCCTTTCTTTCCTGTCCAGTTCCTTCTCTTGCTTCATCTTCATCCAGTTTTGCTTCCCCTTTCTCTTTTATTCTTCCACCACCAAAATTACAATTCTAGCTTTTTTGGGGGTGGGAGGGATGCAAGCCTCCCCCTCCAACCGTTTACATGGGCCGCTTTGCTTGCAAGGACACCAGCGTAACTCTCTAGTCCTTAAATGGGAAATGACGTTTTGTCAAGTACAGTTATGGTCCATCTGACTCAGGAGGGTCTCTGGCATTAGTTCTTCAGACAGGAGATTTTCCCAGGCCTTCTGGACTAGATTTGAGTCTCTCTGCTGCGACACAGCTGCTCGACTGATGAGCTGCCTTTCTCTTCAGCTAATTCTGTGACTTGGAGGTCTTTGAGTGGAGTGCAGTATATGAATGTAAATTGGGAGATAATGAAAAGACAGGTATTTTGGGCTACAGAAGCTGGGTTCTTCAAGTTCCACTAGGTGGCAGCCATAGAATATGGAAAGTATAAAGTATGTGCTCCATCTAGTGGCCATATGGAGTTTTGCAACTAAGGTTAAGAAGCTCTGTTAGAACCCACAGTTGGGGGACTTGACTGAGACTGGGGAGACCAGGATCAAGTCCATGAAGGTCCCCAGGGTGATTTTGGGCAGGCCAGCCTCCACTCAGCCTACTTCATAGGGTTGTGGTTGCAGACAGGAACAAAGAGTGATCCCCATCTAAGCCACCTCAAGACAGAATATAAATATTATTATTAGCAATACTACTACTAATGTGCTGTGGCATTTACATGTTGTATGACACTGATACATTTGACCCATTGTAATTTTTGTCACTGAAACTCTTGATAACCTCAGCAAACAGGAACCCCTGCTGTGGTTCCTGTGATAGATGCTCAGAGTTTAGTTGCTCTTTTGCTCATTTAAACATTTACGTTTGCCTTTCTGGGTGTCCTCAATGAAGGACCTTCTTTGCAGAAATTCTGGGAAATAGCAGGTCATGTGTGCTGTCTTCCATGTTCTTCCTGACTCTCACATTTGGCTGCAAGCACCAGCAATTGTTATTGTGTTTCTTTGATCCCTTAACAGATGTGACATTTGTGTTGGAAGATGGAAAGATAAATGCTCATAAACCACTTCTAATCTGTAGCTGTGAATGGATGTCTGCAATGTTTGGAGGATCCTTTGTGGAAAGCTCAAACAGCGAGGTATTTGTCAACTTTGGCCTGTTACCCTCAAAGCTTGGCTCTGGAGACGGAAATTGCAAGGACTCGAAGGGTGTGGGAATCCCTTGGCGATGTCTCTTCGGGGACCCCTCCAATCTGTCTTCACTAGTTCTTAGAAGATGCCTGGCTCCTGACTGTCGGGAGTTGGTGGGATGGGGAGGTTGCGGGTGGAATAGCTGGTCTCCCTCCCCTATCAGATCTCAGTCCCAGGAGCGAGAACGCCAAACCCCACGGGGAACCAAGCGAACCTCGTCTCCATTCCATTCTGCTTCATTTGCGGGGCTTCAAAACGCCGCGTAAAATTGGCACCACCTTAAATGTGAAATGTTAGAAAAAAATCAGTGGGTCACCAGGCTATCCAAGAGAACAATTTTCAATTCCTACCTTGACATGAAATATTGGGGTGGAGCACTGAAAGACGAGGAGCCACATGCTCGTTTCTGGCAATACCGTATGGATGACCTCAAAGAACAGTGATAGCAGCTTTGATGATTTTTTAGCACTGCCTGAAATGATCTTCTCATTATTCCTCATATTTTAACTGCTGAAACTTTGCTTTTCACTTGACTGTCAAGGGGATTCTCCTGCCCATCAAGAGAAAATAATGTGGATCAGCAGTGCTAGCTCTCAAACACACACACACACACATACACACACACACACACACGGAGGGAGGGAGGGAGAGACCCACATTATACACTTAATATTCTGGAAGCTATGTTCTACTAAAAAAAATTCTCATTACTTTTGAAACAGCAGTAAGCATAATTCCCTCCCTGGAGGCACCCCCAGCAGGTGGTTCATTAAAAATACATACCTTGATTCAGTATGCTGTACTCTACAACAAGAAATTATATATAGATATATTTATATATACACACATACAATCTGGCTCCTAATTATAGTCACTAATAACGTGCATTCTTCTTGGTAATCTTAAATATTAATTGCAAAACTCTATTTTTTCATAGCACACGAAGCTCTCTGTGTCCCTCGTCTTTCACTGCCTTGTTCGGGGAGAATGATGGGAACGGGAAAGAACGGAGTCTGGTTCAAGATGTGGGTAGCATGTAAAGACTGAGGCAGCTCCACGTAAATATAAAGAGCCGCTTCTAATTTATTTATTGTTCTGAAATTCTGCAGGAAGAACAGGTTATTTGCAGCAATAAGTCAGGCATTTGTGCTCAGTCTCTGAAACAGCCAGCAACAGAGAGAGAGAGAGAGAGAGAGAGAGAGGGAGGGAGGGGGAGGGAGGGTGGGGTGGGGGAGAATCTCTCCTGAATTATTGCTGAGATGGTGGGTCTTTACCCTCCTCTAGTGGCAACTTTACATGTTCCCCCTGGCTTTGTGTGTTTTATAAAGTGGTTGTCATGGATACTTGTGTCTAGTAAAGGTTCTTTGAGAAGTTGCATGAATAATGCAAGAACTTTGTGCGGCGATCATCTCCACCAGAGGAGAAACCCTGGAGAAGAGGAGTTTGGGCTCAGAGCACATGTAACTCGGGGGACTTTGTGACGGCCTCTGTCTCATCCAAGATCTGAGCCTGCTCTGTTTTCCCACAACCAGCCATGGGCCATTTGTTGGGGTGAGGACATATGGTCCTTCTGTAGGAGAAGATTTATTTGAGCTGCGGGACGTTGAAGAACAAGTCCAGTCTTGATGATCTGGATTGACCTTTGTCAATACTTTCTCTTTGTTGGACTTTCACCTGTCTCTCTGGGCTTAATTTAAGAGGGAAGATGAGCAGTAAGCATGGGAAATCTTGAAAACCTGGGGCATTGATGTGTTTTCTGCTCTTGCTGCACTCTGTTCTCCTCCGTTCCCCAGTATAAGCACTGATTCTCTGCAGAACATGATTTTGAAAGTGAAAAGAACATTGCAGAATTATCGAAAGCCGTTGTCCTAGGAAAGGTAATACCAGGAAGGGCTGAAAAATAATCAGCATCCCAAGAAAGCATCTCTGAACTATTTTTAGCTCCATGGTGTTCATATTAAGGGCAGAAAATTGCTAACGCAGAGCCCCAAAATGAAGAGTCCTTGACCTTGGGTGCACACTGTGCCTGTGTATTCTTATCATTATCCCGACCTGGCCTTGCTCCGTTTTTCCACAATCCGCCATTATTATGCTTCTGATCCACAATCAGCTTGTGCTTCTGTCTGCAGAAATCAGCAATGGGGCGGCCCAGTTGTGCCCCTTGGATGCCTCTTTGGGCGCAGTGTTTTATTTAAATGGCTGTTGGGTCGGTGGATGAGAACTCAGGGAGCTGAGGGTCCGGGGTCCCACTTCTCCAAGGCACAAGTGACATCTTGGCAGGGGGCTTCCATGCTGAAGGGAACTCATAGGTGACTTTGCCCATCTTGACAATGATTTTGTTGTCCTGCCTGAAGCTGCAGCTTTCTAATAAAATGTATTTGTGAGTGATGGAAGTCGGAGCTTTGCTGCCATTATGTTGGGGGAATTAGGAAGACAAATTAGAACTGAATCATAAATTGGGCTCTGAGTCAGCCAAATCTCACAAAAATGAGAAGAAGGCATAGGAATGCAAACCATCAAGGACAGCAGTTTAGGGTTTAGCAAAACTGAATTATCAAGAGAATTTTGTTGCCTAGCTGCCTCCTGTGGTGGATTTTCTTCTTCCATGAAACTTCGAGCTCCGTCATTTGCTTTCAAGCATTGCTTCCTTTGCTGTTGAAGGTTGCTCAGCTGGTGCGTTTTGAAGGAGGTGACTTATCCGTGCTTTAGGCAAAGCTGGGAGCGTCTGGCATAGAATGACCAGGTATGTGAGGCAGATGTCCAGAGTTCCTTCTCTCTTCCTCTGAGAATTGTTTCAGTATGTGCTTCATCCAAGGTTTGCCTCTAGCACAGCCATTTTGTTTTGGCATCATGATAGTTCCTCAGATTTTCAAATGTATCTATCAGCTCCTCCCCCCCCCCCCCCCGGACTGGATGCTTTAGACCAGGGGTCCCCAAACTTGGCAACTTTAAGACTTGTGGACTTCAACTCCGAGTTGAAGTCCACAAGTCTTAAAGATGCCAAGTTTGGGGACCTCTGCTTTAGTGTAAAGCTTTTCATAAACCTTCATCTTTTCTGTCTATAGAAACTCAGCCTCCTTGAAGTTCAGGTCAACTATGAATGGACAAAACCTTGTCATCTTCTTAGCAATCATGTGGAACAGGGGTGTCAAAAGTGCATCGCTGCGGCATCATCACATAATGTATCGGTACTTTTTCCCCCTTTGCTAAACTGGGCATGGCCATGGCCAGCGGGTGATGCATCCGGCCTGCAGTTCACAAGCTTGACAGCCCTGATATAGAACAAAGAATAACACAGTTAGAAGGGACCACGGAGGTCTTCTAGTCTTAACCCCCTGCTTGCTCGAGTAGAAGACCCTATACCGTTTCAGATTGTCTAGTCTCTTTTTGAAAGCCTCCAGTGATGCCTCCAAAACATCTGAAGGCGAGCTTTTCCACTGCTTGAAAGCCTCATCATTAGCAAATTTTTGCTTAATTCAGGGTTGCTTCTCTCCTTGGTTAGGGTCCATCCATTGTTGCCTGTCTTGCATTTTGGTGTTTGGGAAAATAGTTTGACCCCCCTCATCTTTGTAGGAGCCCATCAGATATTGCAACACTACTATCATGTCACCCCTGGTCCTACTTTTCATTAGACTAGACATACCCAATTCCTGCAACTGTTTTTCATATGTTTTAGCCTCCAACCCCAGTTATCTTTGTTGCTCTTCTCTCCACTCTTTCCAGAGTCTCAACATCTTTTTGATATTGTGGTGACCAGAACTGGATGCAGTATTCCAAATGTGATCTTACTAAGGCTTTGTAAAGCGGTACTAGATGTTCACGTGATCTTGATTCTATCCTTCTGTTAATGAAGCCTAGGACTGCACGGGCTTTTTTGGCTACCGCCACAAACTTTTGGCTCATATTTAAATGATTGTCAACTAGGACTCCAAGATCGCTCTCACAGTTACTGGCATTAAGTCAACTTTCATCTAGCCTGTACATATACAATCAGTTTTGGAAATGGCTTTCCATTTGCCATTTGCAAATTTACCATTTACAGTTTTGTCATTTACAAAGTAAAATTTACAAATTTTACATTTGTAAATTTATCATTTTCAAATGGTTCCCCTTCTGGGATGTCCAGTTTAGATTTTTCCATGGTCTCTAGAAAATGATTTCACCACAGAGAACAGAAAGAGGGTAAGATGTAGGCTAACATCGTGGATTTTTTCTTGTAAGATGAGATCCTGATTAATGCATTGCCTTGATGAAGCAAAATTTTTTAAGAAATGCCAAGATGACTCAATGAAGCAATAAATGGCTGAATTGCTGCCAAAATACTTTGCAAGGCCAAAGAACCAATTTTACTCCAACCACATGAAAGCAGAATTTGTATGTAGAAGAAAGATTGTGAAAAGGCTGGTCATATTTTGAAGTCGTATTTTCTGTAGTCAAGTTTGGTGCGGTTAACTTTGAGTTTGTATCTATTGTGTGCTTTTGTATTGTTATGATTAAAGCTAAAGTATTCATTTGCAGGTAGGACATTGCAATTCATGTTTTTATATACTATATTTAGATCAGACCAGAGGTGGCGTAGTTCTAGGTTTTCTAGGTCTAAATTTTCAAGTCTGGTGGTATAAGGTATTCTGCAACAAGTAGAGGAGCAGAGAATTCTTCTTGTGAAATATTTCTGGACTTTCTCAACTGTGTTAATATCAGATACGTAATGTGGGTTCCAGACTGATGAGCTGTATTCAAGTATAGGTCTAGCAAATGTTTTGTATGCTCTAGTTAATAGTGTGATATTACCAGAGAAGAAGCTATGTAGGATTAGGTTAACAACTCTTAATGCCTTTTTGGCTATGTAGTTACAGTGGGCTCTAGCACTTAGATCAATTGAGATGAGTACTCCTGATGGGATGGTAGATTTTTCATTCTAATAATTGTAGATTTGGTAGTAGAACAAGCTTCCGTTGGTGAGGATGCATTCCACCGAAAGTAAGATTCATTAATGAGAACCAGGGCTTTGAGCGATGGCTTAGTAAATCAACTAACTAGTAAGCGTGCTGTAGCACACATTTACAGTGGGAACTGTTTCCAAACTTAAGCTGCAGAACTTGTTTGTATGTATGTGTACAAATTCCATAAGAAGCGCTATTATTCACGAGGGAGAATAATAGCGTTGGGTCAGGTGTGCTGGTAGTTCAGTGGTCTCCAATCTTAATGGAGACTTTAATCCTGTGTACTTTCCCATAGACCTAAATGTGCTGCGTGTGTGAGATGAGATCTTTCCAGGAATAATGATTTAATTAGCTCTGAAGGTGGATACGGTACATTTCCAAGCTCATGGGAAGCCTCGATCTATGAATGAAGACAGGCGGGTTTTGTCCTCCTCTGTCCTCCCCTTCTCTTAGTTTGGGAGTAGGCTGACCCTTCCCTTGCAATAAGGACCCTCCTTTAGGGGAAGGAGTGGCAGAATTTGGGGGCGGCGTTAAAAGAAGGATTAGCCTAGCATTTCTGCGTAGCCACAAACAAAGGAAGTCTAAATCCTTGAGTTGAGCAAGTCTGCTTGTGGCAACCTAGAGGTTCAAGGCTCTTTTAATTCCGCCCTCCAGGTTCTGCCACCCCTTCCCCTCCCCGCTCTCCTCTTTTTCTAGACACCTTACAACCTAGGTGGAAAGCAGTAGCACCACCCTCTTTTTCCCCGGCTGGATTGTTTCTCGCTCTGAACATTTATAAAATGCCTTCCCCAACGTTTCAGGTTGTTCTCCCCAACATCACTAAGACTTCCATGCAAGCTGTTCTGGATTACCTGTACACCAAGCAACTGTCCTGCAGCCAGGATTTGGACCCCCTTGAATTAATTGCCCTGGCCAACCGATTCTGCCTGCCCCACTTGGCTGCACTGGCAGGTGAGCCTCTCCAGCCTTTCGCCTCCCCCAACCCCACCCCACCGGTCCCCCCCCCAAGGCATCCGGGAAGAAGGATCAGCTTTTGGCCGCCTGGTTTTCTGAAATGCAATCTACATTTCCAATGAGGGAAACGTCGTGTTCCTTTCATCCGATCTCTCTGTGCTGAATTAATTGAGTGCACCCCCCACCCCCCAAAGTGTGTGCCTGCTTAAAGAGACCGAAAGCAAATAACAGGCTGCGGTTCATAATGCCCTTTAGGCAGCCTGATTATTCTTAATTGAAAGAGTGAGAATATTAAAGTTTCCACTGTAAATTCTCTACTCTGAGAGCTTAATAACATCTTAAGCAATTTGAATTTAAGCAAATCTTGAGAAGGAAGGAGCCCAAGATCCATTCATTACTCCACCCTGACCTTGTTAATTATTATGTTAGTGTTCTTGGAATTAACGATCGTAATAGTTATCCCTCCGCTGTTCCCCTAGCCTCAAAGAGAAGGGGCTGGATGAGAGAGAGGGGCCACAGCAGCAGACGTGGCAAAGGCCGGGTGGGGAAGGAGGGCCACCTATGAAATATAGGGGAGTGGTCTCACAAGGGCGGCTCATGTCTGCTTCTTTCCCTCAACAGAGCAGCACACGGTGCAAGCACTCACCAGAACAGCCATGAGCGGTGTATGCATAGATGGAGAAGTGTTGTGTGTTTTGGAAATAGCCCAGGTTGGTGTCACTCTATTGAAAATGTCTTACATGCTTATGACATTGTAAAACCTACGCACAGGTGGTCCTCGACTTAAAACCCTTGGTTTACAACAGAACTCAAAAAAGTGGCTTACGAGTGGTAAATTAAGGACCATCTATACTTCCTTTGGGTGAAGAATTTGTGGGTGGAGAGTTACTGTACTCTTCCCCAGGGATGAAAAGGAGACTCCTTTCTCTTCAACATTACTTTTGGGGTGTGCTTCTCACCCCGCTGTTCCTTTTGGAAAGCTGAGGGTACAACTACTCACCACCTTAAACACCCCCCGTTTCTCCATCTGCCCTGACTGACATGATGTGTGTCTTGGAGGGAGAGGGCAGAAGGCAGGATGAGAAAATTCCAGGTGGGAACAAAGAGGAGAGAGCCTGGTGCTCTGGTTCAGGGCTCTCCAACCTTGGCAACTTTAAGCCTGGTGGACTTCAACTCCCAGAATTCCCCAGCCAGCAAATTTGGAGAGTTGAAGTTCCACCAGGCTTAAAAGCGGCCACGGTTGGAGAGCCCTGCTCTGGTCTACAAGAATCAGCCTTAATGATCATCCTGGTTGGGATGACTGTGAGCAGTGGAGGCTTCAGGAGCAAATAGCGAGGTGGCTGGGGGACGTTTTCCTAGAGACTGGCAGGGTGAAATCCCGCCCTTTTGGGCCCCTCAGTTTTCTACTGCCAATACCTGCCTGTTTCCCGTGCGAGTAACCTCTGTCCCCCTCAGAAAGTGCCCCCTCGAGCCGCCCACTGGGCTGTCAATCAGGATGGTTTGAGAACCAGTCCCTGCTCCAGTGAAACGTCCAGCCTTCCTGCCTGCTTCCCAAGAGGTCCCCCAGAGCTCCAGGAGTGGGGATGGTGTTCTCTTGCCTTGACTCCCTTCTGTTTCTTTTCCAGTTCCACAATGCTAAGCAGCTGGCAGCTTGGTGCTTGCATTACATCTGCACTAACTATAACAGTGTTTGTTCGAAGTTCCGAAAGGAAATTAAAATGAAATCTCCTGGTAAGAGATTCTGGCAAGCTTTCTTCATCACCTTTTCACAATATTTATGTCTGCAAGTCCACCTGTAGATATTTGTATGGTTTACTGCTTATTGTAACATAACTTATAAGACCTTTTTTAGAGCTGCAGAATCACTGAAATGTAAAAATGCATGACGTTGAGCTGCAGAAACGATCCTCCCTGAAACTTCCTCTTCTGCCTTTGGGACACTTCAATTTCAAACACTTTGATGATCTTTTCTGTAGACTAGGAAGGTCCATTTTGAGTTATGGCAGTCTATCCTTTTGTGTCTTTCATCAATGAACTGTCTCTTTCTGAGTTTTCTATTTGAGACTCTCCGAAAGCAGACACAAAGAGCTACATCCTCCACCACGAATAGGAAATCCCAGATGTTCTCATCCCCATCCTATAACAGCTTGAAACTTGGTGGAGTTTTTGAAAAGAGACACCCCCCCTCCCCGCCCCCCCCAACCCCCCGGAAATCAGCACAAGATTTCAGGTTCTGCATTCCGTGACTTTTGCATGGTAGATAACATGTTCCCTAGGTTTTGTCCTTCAAGAAAATAGACTTGGTTGGTTCAATTGATTGTTAAACTTACTGGGTATATCGTTTGTTCACCAGATAATCAGGAATATTTTGAAAAGCACCGTTGGCCTCCCATTTGGTACCTGAAGGAGGAAGACCATTTCCAGCGGGTTAAGAAGGAGCGAGAGAAGGAAGAGCTGGCCCTCAATAAACACCATTCAAGAAGGAAGTGGTGCTTCTGGAGTTCCTCGGCTGTGGTTGCCTGAGTCGAGAGAAGGCCGACCCATCTCGGCTCAGCCGGGGGAAAAGTTAGTTTCTAGTGTTGTTCCTGGGCACAGCTGGACTCGGTGGAACCATCAAAGACTTTTCTCCACTTCATTTCAACGGGTCTCTCCCCAGACCAAGGGCTTAGCAGACTGGGCCGAAAGAGACCCGAAGGTACCACTTGTATTCCATCTGAATTCAGGGATCACCAAAGGTTAGGAAGCACAAGTTCACCTCAGGAGCGTGAATTTCTTTCTTAGACCCTCACTCTGCCATTTTAATAAGCTAAAACTGGCACACACACACACACCCCGTTTTATACTCAATAACAAGAAATTCAGCACCAGTGTTTTGATCTCTGAAGTGAGCCTATTTTTATACTCGTGAACGAGCGTTTCTGTGTGGGGTCTGTAAGGGAAGGTCTTTAAATAATATGTCTGTGACATTTTCTCTCTCTCGGAGATTGCAAAATTACTCAAGCCTTTAAATCATCTCTGTTTCTTTTCACCAACCTTTGGTCACCATAGTGCTGAAAACAAAGCAATGGCTTTAAAATCTCCCTGAAATTGCTTAACCTAGCAACGTGTCCAATTTTGCTAGGTGAAATGATGTTTTTCCTTCTCCAAAGGGCTACATTTGTAACTATTAAATCCTTGTTTTGTTTATCTGAAAAAATGAGATCCATTAACAACAGAAGTCATGAGGATTGTAATTGTCAATCAGCCAAAGAACACAATTTTTTTTCAGCTAGCTGATCAAATATGTATGTTGAATGTTTGGCCTGTGAGGACAGGAGGCAGCTGCCATGTGTAATTTTCTCCTTTTTATCTAGTTCAGGAGTGAAATTGAGGAAAAGATCCTTTTCTCTTTCAAATCCAACGGCAGGAACACTCTTTGGGTGGTTTCTTCAGAGCTGTCTGTGGCTTTTCTTTGGAGAAACTTCTGCATAATATTCTTTGGTTCATTATTCATATTCAAATGTGAAGGGCTCCTTAAATGAAACAACTTCTTCCATTTTTATGATCCTGCAAAAGGACAACCTGCATTTCAGTAGCGTCGCTCTGGCCCAAACAATCCCATTTCTGAAAGGACGGCATCTTAACTAAGCCGAGTATCTTGTTGCTTCTAAAAATGCTGGGAAATCTTTCCTCTAATCCCCTGACGTTTTGGTAAATATCTTTTGCTAAAGACATATAGGTAGACACCAGATTTCCAGCATTTTGAGGCTATTTATATTAGCAGTGTTTTTAAAAATACTTTAGGAATAAATGTGCTACCTCCTGGGTCAGAACAGTGGAGGCTACATTGGAAGACCTGAAGTTGTGATGGCCACCATTTACGATATTTGCCAGAAGCCAGTGTTTACTTCCAGCGTCCATCAAAAAGCATCCAGAGTAAACCATGAGTTTGCTTAATGAGCACGGCGTTTGCTTAGCAACTGCGAGGTTCACTTTGCAACCATGGTGTTCACTTAACAATCACTGCAAAAAAAGGAAATAAAAGCTGGCCCAGCCACGTGGCCATCTGCTTTATGACTGTAATTATCAGCCTCAGTTGCGGTCAAAAACGGAGGGCTACCTGTCTCCCCTTCAGGCAGAGGTGAACCTGGGCTGCTCACCCCTTTCCAGACAAGGAGATTGTGGGGAGTCAGTCAGGGTGACATTCCCATCTCTATCCTCTCAGTTCCTTAGAGGGACGTAAATAAGTAGAGGGATATAAATAAGCAGGTTTTTTCAAAGCCTGCTCCATTCACTTCCATAGTATTTACAGGTAAAGCAGGTGAATGTATAAATTGCTCAGTAAGGAGGCAGATTTCTCACCTTTTGAGCCAACTTGGGCAGAGGCAAGGAATCTCTTTCTCAGCTGCTGCTGAATCAGGAAACCTTCTCCACCTCCCCAGGACCACCAACTCTGCTCCAGGCAGCAGGAGAGACCCAGAAATATCTCTGCGTACATTAAGTAACCGTTATTTTCAAAAACTCGATGTACTGTTTGTTACAAAGGGTTGGGAAGGCAAAGGGTATTTCCATATATCTATCATGTTTGGTAAGATCCTTGCAGAGGAAGCCGAAGAAACAAATCTGTGAGTAAGATTTCATCCCTTTGGCTCCCGAGAGCAAGAGGGACGGACGCAAAGGGAGATTTGTTCGCATGGAGGAGAGCCTAAGGCTGCTTAGATGGCCTCCTTCTGGAGTCCAGTTTAATAACCACCTCTGAACAGGGGAGCTCTGGGCTCAGCCCTTTACCTGGCCGCTGAATCGAGGCAGCCTATTGTAAAATGTTGGCACCCGGTGTGTTGTATAAACATCACTGTGCCTGACAAGATCAAGGGTACTCTTGACACAGGGAGAGGAGTCAATGGACCAGGGCTATTCTCAAGAACCAATGGTTGGGCTACTTAAGAGCTTCTGGAACCAAATGGCTGGTTCATTTGGTGTAATTCTGCCTGTGGCCTTTAAGCTTGGTGGGAGACTTACTTTTGTTTCTATTTTGGGAAAAGCATCTCAATAAAATGGTTTAGCTATACCATCTTTCCTCATCATTGCGTCTCCTCATTTTAAAGAATGCGCTAAAAGCAATTCGTGCTTTTTCTAGAACTCTTGTCCCAGGACCCAACTGGGTCAAGTGGCCATGTATGATTGCAAGGCTAATGAAGACCAGAAGACCAGAGTGTAGTGTTTTCATCCCAGGGATGTAAGGCACACCTGAAAGTTCACATTTGCTGCCTTGTGTTTGTTGCACAAGCACCCGTCCTAAGCCATACAGAGCAAGTGTGGGAGGTCCTGGTGCCCTTTTGGTCAGCTCAGAGCCCCTCCTTTCCCCTCCCCTAATTGCAGGTTCCCTTTGCAACTAGGGGCACAGCGCAAGCCTCAAGGAAAGCCCTCCGAATCCACCTTCATTTCCTCCTTCTGGCCGTGACTTCACTTGCACCTTGTCTCCCTAAATCTGTTCATGGAAAAGGCGTCCTAAAAGGCAGCAATGCCTATTAAGGGGTTGAGGATTTGGGCCCAGTGTAAAATATCTAAAAACACAATGTTGGTGGCTACAGTCCTGCTTCGATGGGGGAATGCCTCCTTTAGTTTAAGAACAGATCCTTAAGAACAGATCAATTTTGAAGGTGTAATTTGAATTGAGAGGTGTTTAAAAGGTTTCACTGCTGTTTCTTACCCCTACATTTTGCCAGAGTTTGAAGTGGCCGTGTGCGCGTCTTTTCTAATTGACTAACCCAAAGAAGTGTTTGTTTCTATACGTTCATGTGTGTGATATTTCTCCGTAGGTCACAAGATGGTCATTTGTGCCAAAGACAAATTCCTTGTGTATCCAATCACACTTGGCCAATAAAGAATTCTGTTTTATTCTATAGGAGAGACCCTACATGTTTAGGATGATTTGAGACAAGGAAGCTCTGACAATCCACCCCAACTCTAGGCGGTTCAAGTGGCAAGTAAAAGATTTAGAGGAGAGTCTTGCCTTTTGGACAAGTTTCAATCACCACAGCCAGAGGTCACCAATTTGTTATTGCCACACGTTAAGATGTGGATGACAAATAAAATCAAAGATATAGACCTTTCTTCCAAGCAGACACAAAAAGCCTGGAATTGAAGCATAACTTACCGATACCGGATTAAAATCCCTCCATTTAACTCTGTTCAGAAATTCTGAACGTTTTGTGGTAATCTAGGGCCAGCTGGAAGCACAATATTTTCCATATCACACTTCTAATTAAGGGGAAGAGCAGAGACCCACCAGCAGAACTTTCCCACCTGCCTTAAGTGCAAATGACTTGCATCCACATATGTTGAAAATTGTTTGGGTTTCACACTTGGCCAAGCTGTGAGCGGGAACAGAAAAACATACTTTTCCTATTCTTGTTTCTTGAGCTCAAGATGCTCTGCGGTGGAGAAAAAGGCTACTACAGGTTCCTTCACAGGTCAAGGGAAGGCAGAAATCTGCTTGTTATGGTTGAAGAAGCAGAAGATGTTGCATGAAACATGCAGCACTTTTCACTCTTAACAGTGCAAAACCTGAGACATTACATTTACATTAAGTAAGTACGATCTGAGCAGACTTGGCAAGTTTGAGGAACACTCCTCCTTCCACAAAGGCAATCATCTCCCAATCCACTAGCTGCTCCCACGAAGCAAAATCCATGATGAGCGAAGGGAGAAAAGGGTTTTAAACAGTTTGCCATCTTTTTAAGTGTAGTAAATCTGCCCCATAAACTCACATAAAAGTGCACACACCCCTCTAATCATCCTGCAAGCTATTCCAGGGTGATTCAGCTCCAGCCTGCAGTCAGTCTCATACCACGCCTTGATCATTGTAGATTATGTAGAGATTTTGTGCTGACATCTTGTGGTTCAAGAGGAAATGGCACATTGACGAGTCAATTTGTTGAGTCATTGGATGCAGCAGCCATAACTTGTCACTTGAATTACCTTTACGATGACCTCATTTCCTCCTCCGCTTACAGAGCACGCCAAAGCGAGCTCGATAAAACAAGAGCTCCTTCGGTTGAATGCCTGCCTGTCAGCAGTGGGGCGATCTGAGTTTCCGTGGCTTGAGATCCTCAGGAAGCAGCCAGTGAGCAAAACCTCGGGGTTTCACAGGAGAAACAATCAGCTTCAGAAGACTTAACAATGGTCTGCTGCAATTTCTATTGCCGCTCTTCAAGGTGAGATAGATGACATGAGGCCACTCCCCAGTCTGGTGGTGGTCTAAGGCAGGGATGGCAACCCTTTTTGTTGTGGTGTGCAGAAAGTGCGCGTGCCGGCACCCACAATGCAATGCGCTGTGCATGCGTGCGTCTCCCAGCTGATTTTCAGCCTGTTTGAGGCAGTTTTCGCCCTCTCGGAGGCTTGAGGGAAGCCTCTGCAGCGTTGGGAGGCTGAAAAACAGGCCTTCCGGAAGTACTGGAAGTGCCCGTTTTCAGCCACCGGAAGGCCTCTGGAGGCTGAAAACGGGCCTGTTTCGGCACTTCCAGAAGGCTCATTTTCCGGCCTCCCGAGGCTGCAGAGGCTTCCCCTCGAGCCTCCAAGAGGGCAAAAATGGCCTCCCCGGGCACCAGAGGCTGAAAATAGGCACTTCCGGTATTTCTGAAAGGCCCGTTTTTCGGCCTCCTGAGGCTGCAGAGGCTTCCCTCGAGCCTCAGGGAGGCTGAAAATCAGCTGGGAGGCATGCAGTAAGTTTGGCTGGAGCTTGCGTGCCCGCACAAATGGCTCTGCGTGCCACCTGTGGTACGCATGCCTATCATAGATTTGCCATCACAGGTCTAGGGGTTGATCCTCAGTGCCACAGAGGGAGCTGCAGATTACAAGCAGGGGCTGCCCATGTGTTCTCCAGGCAAGGAGAGGAAGGGAGACTGTCCCCTTCCCTAAAGCCACGCATAATGGAGCTTTCCCAATCAAGGGAGTCATGCAAGGACCTCTCTGGGATGCCTACAGGAGGTGGACGACGACCAGACTTGTACCTGTTGGGAGATTTTTGGTTCATCCAACCAGTTTCCCTAAGAGAGGGGTGGGGGGGTGTGGTGGTCTTTTTCTACAAAGACCCCAAAGGCTAAAAAACCCTTAGCCCCTTCTGGCAGTAAGGCCAAGCATCTGCAAGAAACAAAACATTCCACCCTAGTTTGGAAGGGTTTATTTATATAACAGTGGGAATAATTAACAGTGCACACATTTATTGAGGACTGAATTGCTTAGTATTTACATTTGAGGAGGATTTTACATCAGGGAACTCTAAACAGGGCTCTATAATTTTAGAACAGATCAAGACAGACATATATAGAAAAAACAAGAGCAAGAATTTCTGTACTCTCGCAGCAAAACGTCAGCAGCAGCTTCTCCCCAAACCAACAGTTAGCATTTCTTGAGCCGGCTGGCTGGGAGTTTCGATTTGTCCAGGTCATCGAAGTAGGGGTGATTGAGGGCCACACGGCCAGAAATCCTCTTTGCGGGATCGTAGATCAACATTTTCTGCAATTCAGAACAAAGGGACACATCACCCACTGACAATCCACAGGCAAGAAGGACATCCAAGGCAGAGCAGGTCAGAAGATCTCCAATCTCTGCAGCCACTTTGGGTGCTTCGATTGCATAAAATGGTCACAAAATAGCTGACCCAGTTGGCATGGCCAGGTAAAACAAAGTATTAAGAAATGAGAAGAACATCTCCTCAGGTTACAAGTAATCCCCGGGTTACGAGCGTTCCCATAGCGGACGTTTGAAGTTATG